GCTATGCATATAAGTATATGAGTTCTTTGGTTAATCTCTTCTCATCCCCCTCATTCTAAAAACAGGACACACACACACACACACACACACACACACACAAAAGGAGAAACAATACAGAGCAAAAAAAGCCAAACACATACAATATAATCATACTGTATGAGTCCATTGATACAAAGCTCAGAAATATCCCAAACTAAGCTAAATTTGTTCATGATACACACTTACGTGGTAAAAATAAAAGCAAGGGAATCAATCGCACAAAAATCAGGATGGTGGTTATAATTGGGAAAGAGCTAAATGGAGAGCACTGGGGTGCTGTCCAGGGTGCTGCTCAGCTTCTTGACTGAGAGGTACTCACCTGCGTACTCGTTTTGTAATAGTTTCTTAAGCTGTACTTCCGTGTTGTTGTTTTTTACTCTTTTTTTTTTTTTTATCTTCACATGAGGACACTTTGCATTTTTATCTTCAGATAGAGCGGGAGGGAGAGAAGGAAGAAGAGAAAGAGAGAAACATGGATGTGAGAGAGACACATCAAGTGGTTGCCACCCGCACGACCCCCACTGGGGCCGGGGACAAACTGCAACAGAGGTACATGACCTTAGTGGGAACCGAACCCAGGACTCTCTGGTCCATGAGCCAATGCTCTAACTGCTGAGCCAAACTGGCCAGGGTTGTACATTTGTGTTGTATGAGCTTTCTGTTTATAATATTTTATAATAAGAAGAATGTTAAAAATACAATGAGCTGGTTCAAACAAACCCTCACTCTGCAACTTGAATGGGTAGGGATTTGTTCCAGCTAATAAGTCAGGAGGTAGAAGGGGGTGGTAAAGCTGTACAGCCATGGCCAGAGTGAATGAAGAGGAGACAGAACCAACGGGAGCTGAGGAAGCCAGTAAGAAGCAAAAATCTTGGGAGTGGGTGCTAAAAAGGGTCCCTAGAGCTTCAAATCCTGATAGCCTTCTGGTTTATTCATTTACCCATTCATCAACAACATTATTAAATACCTACTTTGGGGCATCCCAGTGAACCTTAACCCCAAAGATGCACCCCCAGCAATCATGTTTATCTCTGTGACATAATCCCCTGGGCACAGCAAAAAAAAGGGGGCGTGCCAACCTGACCCAGGCTGGGCCAATCACATTCCATCTGTTGGGAATATGGAATGGGGATTCAGAAATAGCCATTTTCTGCCTTGGCTTGGAGAATCATGGAACTCATCTGTGGTGGAAATGGGTTTGTTATGAATAACAAAAGACTCTCCTTTCAACTTTATGACTCTTATCACTTAGGAAATTCCATGTTTTTTAGGAGCTCTGTGCTAGGAAACAAGACAAAGACCAAATATATATACTTCTCTTTATAAATCACAACACCTCAGTGATCAAGGACATCAATGTGACTGGAGTGGAATGAGGGAGGAAAGAGAAGGAGAGGTGGTCAGAAGGGGATGAAGAAGGAGCCAGAACACATCATGCCTTATAGGGCAGGGTAAAGAATTAGGACTTTACTTGGGTTCCAGTGGAAAGTCTTTGGAGTAGGTGAGTGACATGATGACATTGGGGTCACTCACTAGGTGAATGACAAAATCTAACTTATGCTTTAGAATGATCCCTCTTGGTTGCTGGAAGAGGTTCTGCAGAGGAGCCAAAATGGAATGCTAGCATGCTGTTTTCATGCAGGTGAAAGATTTTGGTGCTGAGACTAGGGTTATAGAGGTGGAAGCATAGGAGATAATACATGCAAGGATCATTGCATTTGTTTCACAAATATTTCCCAGACCTACTGCATGCCAGTTCCAAGGTCAAGCCTTAGACATTCAGGAATGAGCAAGATGCAACACCATTTTTAAGGTTCACGCAGGCCACTGCAGTGGCTTTCTATTTGGGGGGAGCCTGGGCCATGAGTGTTAGTAAGAAATACATTTTTGCCCTGGCCGGTTTGGCTCAGCGGTTAGAGCGTCAACCCGTGGACCAGAGAGTCCCGGGTTCAGTACCTGCTAAGGGCACGTACCTCAGTTGCAGTTTGTCCTGGCCCCAGCTGGGGTCGTGTGGGTGGCAGCCAGTCGATGTGTCTCTCTCACATCGATGTTTCTCTCTCTCCCTCCTGCTCTATCTGAAGATAAATGCAAAACTGTCCTCGGGTGAGGATAAAAAAAAAAAGTCAATAAAAAAAAGAAATACATTTTTATTGTGATCCAATACACACACAGACACACAATGAAAACACAAGTTTCATGAGACACTTATAATTTTTTTTTTTTTTTTATCCTCACCCAAGGACATTTTTTTCATTTTTTGTTCAGATAGAGTAGGAGAGAGAGAGAGAGGAAGAGAGAGAGAGAAACACCGACGTGAAAGGGACACATCGAGTGGCTGCCACCCGCACGACCAACCAGGGCCGGGGACAAACTGCAGCCGAGGCACGTGCCCTTAGCGGGAACTGAACCCGGGTCTCTACGGACCACAGGCCGACGCTCTAACTGCTGAGCCAAACCGGCCAGGGCGACACTTATAATTTTTTTAAATCCTCACCTGATAATATGTTTTTGTTGATTCTAGAGAGAGAGAAACATCAGTCAGTTGCCTCCTGTATGTGCCCCGACTGGGGATAGAACCTGCATCTAGGTATGTGCCCTGACCAGGAATCGAACACACAACCTTTTGGTGCACAGGATGACACTCCAGCCACCTAGCCAGGGCAAGAACACTGATCTTTACTCCATGTGATTTACTCTGCTATTTTCTTTTTTAAAAAATATGTTTTTATTAATATTTTAGAGGGGGGGAGGGAGAGAGAGATAGAAACATCAATCAGCTACCTTGGAGCCCAAAACTGGGGCATGTGCCCTGACTAAGAATTGAACCAGGACCTCTCAGTCTGTAGGACAAGGCTCAATTCACTGAGCCACACCAGCTGGGCTACTCTGTTATTTTCTATTCTATTTCATTAAAAATGATGGTTGAGCCCTGGCCAGTTTGGCTCAGCAGTTGGAGCATCGGCCTGCGGTCCAGAGAGACCCAGGTTCGGTTCCCGCTAAGGGCGCATACCTCGGTTGCACTTTGTCCCCAGACCTGGTTGGTCATGCGGGTGGTGGCCACTCGATGTGTCCCTTTCACGTCGATGTCTCTCTCTCTCTCTCTCTTCCTCCCACTCTGTCTGAACAAAAAATGGAAAAGTGTCCTTGGGTGAGGATAAAAAAAAAAAAATGATGGTTGAACTCATAAAATCAATTTCATAACCCACTGATAGGTCACAATTTTAATTTGAAAAAAGTCCTAAGATCAAGGTGTCGGCAGGTTCATTTTCTCCTGAGGCCTCTCTCCTTGGCTTGCAGATGGCCACCTTCTTGCTGTGTCCTCTGTGCATGTCTGTGTTCTGATCTCCTCGTATAAGGACACCTGTCAGATCAGATGAGAGCCCAACCTAATGGCCTCATTTTTACTAATCACTTCTTCTCTTTAAAGGCCCTATCACATTTGGAGGTTCTGTAAATTAGGGCTTCAACATATTACTTTTGGGGGGAGATAATTCAGCCCACAAGAGGCACCTTTCTGAGGGGTAGAGAGGCAGAGGGAGCCAGGAAAAAAGGTGAGAAAGACTTTCCAGGTCTGCATATGCATAAACAGGGAAGCACAAGAGGTCCAGGGTGGCAGGAAAGTGTACACTCTCTGATGTGGCTGAGGGTATGGTGTGAGGTAGGGAATAGCAGGTTGAAGTCAGCTAGCTCCAGGGACTTAAATCCCATACCAACAAATGTAGACTTTAGTTTATAGAGCCATGAGTCTCAGCAGGATCCCCAGGGGCATTGGAGGAGGATCCTGGAGAGCTGAATTTTAACAAGTGTCTCAGATGGACCAAGACCCACACTCTGGGAAAAGAAGCTAAAGGTGACATTGACAAGTTTTAGACAGGGGCCTAACACTGGCTGAGTTGGAGAGCATAGGTTGATGGGGCAAGGATGGAGGCAGAGAAGCCATAGAAGGGGCTGTTCTGTGTGTCCAGCGAAGGAAAGATGAAGTCTGAACTGACAATAATAATAGTTAACCCTTAGAGAGTGCTTACCATATGCCACATGCCAGGCCTGAGCTGGGCATCCTACCTGGGTAATCTCATTAAATTCTCTCAATTATTCCTTGTGGTAGATATCTTTATTATTCTTATTTCACAGTTGAGAAAACTGAGGCCCAGAGAGGTGAAGGGACTTGCCCCAAGTCACACAAAGAAAAGTGTATGTTGGAAGAGGCAGTGAGTGGTTGTCACCCCTTCTCTCCAGGCAGTCACAGAGGGGATGGAAGGATTGGAGGGACACATATGGTGTATTAAACACGTTCTGGGCCTACGCCTCACAACAGCTCTGTGAAGGTGTTGTCCTCATTGTACAGTTAATAGCTGACCAGATGTCAGGCATTGTTCTAAAGCACTCTGATAATTCAACCCTCACGACAACACCTAGGGGTAGGTACTACATATTTTAATCCCCATTGTACAGAGGAGAAACTAGGCATAAATTAACTCGATCAAGTTCACAGGCAGCAAAAGGGGCAACTGGGCAGTTTGCTTCCAGAGTCTGCTCTCGTAACCGTACCACCTTTCGACAACAAGTGAGGAAACTGGCTCAACGAGTCAAGAGAGAGTTCCTACACCTAAGAAAGCTCTAGGTTCATTTCAAACCCAAGGATAATCGTCATGTCCAGCAGATAGCGCCCGAGCGCACAGCAAGCTGCAGGATTGGCAACGCGGTCAAGACTACAACACCCACAATGCTGTGCGGCTATTAAGGTTCTCCAGCTTAGCTGTCCGAAGCACTGCCTGTGTGCTCTCCGGGAGAAATGTGCGTACCCGAGCCATTCAGGTCCTTCCCCTATCTTCAGGTGGCAAGGTAAAAGTTTTTAAAAATATATAATCCTTCTTATCTTACTAGTTGGAGACCGGAAGGACCGAAACAACTCTGCTCTTCGTTGGCTTCACCTGTCCTGACCTAAGGAGAGGACCCTTGACCTCGGACCCAAGATGGCGGCGCCCAGACCTGTCTCTCTTGTTGAGTTGAGGTGAACTAACACCGTGAACTCCGTGTCATGTCGAAGCTAAGCCGGGCCACTCGGGCCGTCAGGAAACCCGAGGCCGGCGGCGTGATCCGGACCATCGTGCGGGCGGGCCAGGCCATGTCCGGGCCCCCATTGGGCCCCGTCCTGGGTCAGGTGCAGCCGCGGCTTCAACCCAGCGTGGGAGGCGCCGGAGGGTGGAAGCCAGTACCTGGGTGGAGGGTGCGGGCTCGGGAGCCCGGTCGGGGTTCAAAGCGCGGCTCTGCTACCCACACGCTTAACGTCCTTGCGTTAGTTCCTTAGCCTCTTGGAGGCTCAGCTTCCTCAGTCCTTCCTCTACGGACTGCTGTGAAGGTAGAGAGGGATGATGCCGACAAACCACCCAGCACATAACGTGGTGGTTGAATCTGGGCGGAGGAGAGAGGATGGGAACATAGAGCAGTGAAGATGAAGAAGGGACTGACGGAGCCTTCTGGGTGGTAGGAAGCGGCCCTTCCTCCCCATACTAACCCCTGTGCATCCGTCACAGCGAGGCGTTTCCATCAACCAGTTCTGTAAGGAGTTCAACGAGAAAACAAAGGACATCAAAGAAGGAATCCCTTTGCCGACCAAGATCTTTGTGAAGGTGCGGAGTCGGGACTGTGATCCCACTTTCTTTTCATCCCCCCTAAGTTCCCTAAGCCCTGGAACTGGTTGCCTGAGGTTGCTACCCAGTTCCTAACTTGGGGCAAGTCTCTTCCAGTTACTGGGCCCCACTTCCCCTATTTACACGGTGGAGACTGGAGTATCTTTTCTGAGCCTGCCCTGCCATATTGCAGGTCTTCCATTTCCCCCTTCACTTTTTGGGGACTTTTGAGTAGAGTTGCACCTGGAATAGAGGAGACAGGGCTGTTTGCTGCAGACTTATTTATTTATTTACTTTTTATCCTCACCCAAGGACATTTTTGCATTTATCTTCAGATACAGCCGGAGGGAGAGAGGGGGAAGAGAGAGTGAGAAACATGATGTGAGAGAGACACCTGGACTGGTTGCCGCCCACACAACCCCAACAGGGCAGGAACAAACTGCAACGGGGGAGGTATGTGCCCTTATGGGGAACTGAACCTGGGTCTCTCTGGACCACAGGCTGACCGACGCTCTAACTGCTGAGCCAAACTGGCCAAGGCTGCTGCAGATTTATTTTTCCTGTGGTTTTGTGGTTTGTTGGAGGGACACCATTGGAAGGTGCCTCAAGGGAAAGGGAGACAGGAAGTTAGAGGGTCCCTGTGTTGGGGCAGCAGGGCTCGGGAAAAGCAGGAAGAGATATTCTCATATTTCTTTTTTCCATTAAGCCTGATAGGACGTTTGAAATCAAGATTGGACAGCCCACAGTTTCCTACTTCCTGAAGGCTGCTGCTGGGATTGAAAAAGGGGCCCGGCAGACAGGTAAGGGTCAGGATAGGCACCTGGGATTTTTGGAGGGCTCTGGAAGGAAGCAGTGACACCTCAACAGCTACTTACTTCTTCCTTTCAGGGAAGGAGGTGGCAGGCCTGGTGACCTTGAAGCACGTGTATGAGATTGCTCGTGTCAAAGCTCAGGATGACGCCTTCGCCCTGCAGGACGTGCCCCTGTCCTCTGTTGTGCGCTCCATCATTGGCTCTGCCCGTTCCCTGGGCATTCGTGTGGTGAAGGAGTGAGTGTCCTGGGGAAGCACAATGTGAGGGGAGGGCCTGGACAGTTCTTGACTTTGGGGCAAGGCTGAGAGCACATTAGTGGGAGAGTCAGCTCCTGAGTGGGGAGCCCCGTTTATTCATTTGGAATACACTTATTAAAATACCTGCTATGTATTAGATGTAGTTCTGGGCATTAGATGGACCTAGGAACAAGACAGCCATGCTTGGCCCCACTCCTAAGGAACTCACAGCCCAGAGATGGAGGCAGACTCATAAATGGAGCATTAGACTGCCAGACGGGCAGTGTTGAACCACAGGAATCTTGAGAACAAAGTATATGACTCCTGATTTTGCCTGGTCTGTCAGTGAGGACTTTCCAGAGACCTGGAAAAGGAAATCAAGTGTTCCAGGAAGTGGAGAGATTCCTGTGAAGGATGGAAGGTGAAAGAGTGAAGCAAAGAAGTTCAGTGTAATGCGGCATATAATCTGGGTCGAGAGGCAGAGCAGGAAATAGTGTGAGAGAGGTGAGGCCAACAGGGGCCCCCACCCTGGGGCTTCGGATGACCTGAGGAATTGTTTCGTTGAAGTGAGATGCTGGGGAAGAGGGCGCCCAGACAAGAGCAGGAGCAGCACTCAAACCTTTATTGGCCTCTTGCTGCCGATGTCAAGGCTGCTGATTGTTTCCTAAGAGAAGTAGGTTAAGCAAGGAACAGGGATGGGCTTCACTTTTTTCAAATCTTTACTTTTACTAGGAGTACAGAGATGCATAAATCTGAACCCTGTTCAGGGGGAGACACACATGCCTGAAGACTTTATTGTACAAAATATTGTGGGGCACAGAGGAAGAGCCCAATTAACCTGGACTGGGACATAGCAGGGGCTTCAAAGGACCAGAAGGGTGTAGAGAAGGGAATAAAAGGCAGAGGTGGTGAGGGTGCAGAGGGGCATTCCTGGCAGAGGAAACAGATGAGCAAAGGTACGTGAAGTCCAGGAGGGGCTGGAAAGGGTTCTGAGACAGTGACATGGGCCACTCACTTACCGTCTGTTTTTCTGTACCTGCAGCCTCAGTTCAGAAGAGCTGGCAGCTTTCCAGAAGGAGCGAGCCACATTCTTGGCGGCTCAGAAAGAGGCAGATTTGGCAGCTCAGGCAGAAGCTGCCAAGAAGTGACCTCTGACCTGCACACTCCAGGATTTTGAAGGGGTCATCTGGGAAGGCTGTGCCAAAGCGGGCAGGGGTGACACCAACCTGATTATTATTTCTCTGACTTTACATATTTTACTCATATGGATGTGTCAGGCGATTAAGCCTAAATAAACATCTTTTGTCACCCACTCTTGACTTCTGTCTTGGGACCCCAGGGGAAAGGGACTGGTACTGATGGTAGCCTACCTAGGAAGTAGGCTCTTCATGCTGCTTCTCAGATATGTGATCCGAGGCTCAGCCAAGCAGAGCAAAATGTCCAGGTTGAGTTGGTGGCAGAGGTCTGAGCAGTAGCCCGGCCTTGTGTTCCTCCTCCCTAGAGATGAGAAAACAGGCAAGGTAGGTGGGGACTTCCAGTGCTGGGGCTGGTGTGTACAGAAGCAGCAGATGTTGCTATTGCTTGTATCAGAAATATTTCTTAACTCTTGGGGACTTGCTAGTGCAACAGAAACAGACCCCTGTGGGGACTTAAGGTCACAGCCCCAATAGTGTTACTGCACAAGTGCCCCAGATCTCAGGAAGGGGTAGAAAGCTGATCCTGGCTCTGGATCCGGTGTTAGCTGAACATAAACTGTTGTGAGGCTCATGGCTACAGACCTGTTGAAGAAGCAAAGCTATAGTAGGTATCACCCCAAGGCGGCAGAAGACCTTAGGAAGCCCCTGGCCTTTTGTTTTCCCCAGTCTCCAGAACATCAAGGACTCGTCCTTGCAGAGAAGAAAGCAGCAGTCAGGGCAGAAATGGATTCATGTTTATGGAACATCTGTTATGTGTTAGGCACTAGTTTTTTTGTTTGTTTTATCCTCACCCGAGGACAGTTTTCCATTTTTTCAAATAGAGTGGAGGGAGAGAGAGAGAGAAACATTGATGTGGAAGGGACAAATCGAGTGGCTGCCTCTCGCACAACCCAAACAGGGCTCGGGACAAACTGCAACCGAGGTACATGCCCTTAGCGGATCCAAACCTGGGTCTCGACCACAGGCCGATGCTCTAACCACTGAGCAAAACCAGCCAGGGCTTAGGCATTAGTTTTGCACTGACATTTGGAAAACAGAAAAATAACTCAAGTCTGGGTAATCTCACCACCCAGATGAGACTCCTGCCAATACTTTGGTGTATATCTTTTCTACTCCTTGTGGGTTTTTTAAAAATCTTCACCCATAGAGAAGCATTGATGTGAGAGAAAAACCGATTGGTTGACTCCCATATGCACCCCAACCGGGGATTGATCCTGCAACCTAGGTATGTGCCCTGATCAGGAATCAAACCCGCAACCTTTTGGCATACAGAACTACTTCCCAACCAACTGAGCACCTGGCCAGTGCTCTACTCTTTGTTTCTTGGTGTGTGTGTGTGTATAATGCTTTTTTTAAAAAAAAAAAAAAATGGTATTATACTCTAGATACTATTTTACTTTTAACTTGGCAATTATTTAGACCATTTTCATTATTAATTATCTTTCTTAAGCAATTTTTGATGACTGCTTAGTATTCTGTCTTATGAGTGGACCATAATTTAACCAAATCCTCAACAGTTAGGTATTTTATTTGCATTAAAATACACACACACACATTCACAACCTCATTTGCAAAACAGGTTTGTTTGTTTTTTAATCCTCACCCAAGGATATTTTTTCATTTATCTTCAGATAAAGTGTGAGGGAAAGAGAGACACACATAGATTGGTTGCCTCCCAAACACCCTGCCGGGATCGAACCACAACCGAGGTACATGCCTTTGACTGGAATCGAACCTGCGACTCTGGTCTGAGGGCCAACACTCTAACCACTTAGCAAACTGACCAGGGCAGCAAAGCAGTTTTTGAGTGGCTTGTGTATCAGGCACTGGGCGTAGTCCTCCTGCTACTGAGGACACAGGATAAATGACAGTTCCTGCCTCCAGAGAGCTGGTTCTTTCCCTTCCTGAACAGATCCTGTACACTTTGTTTATTTACTGCATTTGCTTTTTGTTATGTCTCCCAGAGCTAGAACGCAGGCTCTGTGACCACAGGGACCCTGTCTGGCTTATTCGCTGTTACGTGCCCAGCACCCAGAACAGTTTCTGGCAGGTGTAGGTATTGAAAATATCACATGAAAAAATGACACTGCAGAGCCAGCCTTGAGAACTGTCTTTATGACCCCAAACACTTGAGCTCTTTTTCCTATATTCGGCTCCCAGAGTGGAGTCTGGTATGGGTAGGAAGAGAACTGACTGAGAGTTAGATCTGAGAATGACATGAGGCAAGTCTTTTCCTCCCCACCAGCCTCAGTATATCCATCTGTTCTAAGCTTTGAAGCGCTGAGCCACAAGGACCTTCCCAGGCAGAGGAACAGAAGCGGATACTTTTTTTGTACAGCAGGTGGAGCTATTGGCTCTTTTAATTTTTCTCTACGGTGAACTTGGTGGCCAGGGTCTCTGTTTCTGCAGTCACTGTGCCTGAACAAAACACACACTCTCCTATTACCCACCACCACTACCAATCACCAGTGAAGTTCTTTTTTCTCACATTTAAAAACTTTTAATTTAATATATTTAGTTTTACTCTACAGAAACTTTTTATTTCAGAATAGATTTAGATGTTTTGAAAATAGTACAGAGTTTCCATGTACTCCATACCTAGTATTTCCCCTAGTGATATCTTACACTTATATGGTACATTTGTCACAATTAATGAGGCAATATTGATATATTATTATTGACTAAAGTCCATACTTTATTCAGATTTCTTTAGTTTTTAACCAATAGTGTTTTTCTGGTCCTGGACCTATCCAGAAAACCACATTATATTTCATCATCCTGTTTCCTTAGGTTCTTCTTATTGTTACAGCTTCTCAGACTTCCCTTGTTTTTGATGATCATCAGGGAGGTTTTTAGATGGGACTCCAATGTGTGTCTTCAGCTTATAGTCACTTAAGATTCAAAGCTTAGAGTTACAACCCTTTGCCCTCTGGGGAACTTGGAAACCATGTTTTTGTGGTAGAGATTGGTGACTTTCTACTCAAATCCTTGGGCTAATCTTCAGGAATGGTCCTCTCAATGAAATATTTCTCGTGTGCCTGCTGTGCTCCTGGCCCTGTGCTCGGCACCAGAAAGGGAGTGGAGCTAAGACAGGGTCCTTGTGGGGCTTAGAGTCCAATTCGTTTATCCAAGTTGGACAACACATGCAGAGGAAGGCAGAGGGCAAGACTTCACCATCCTGTTTCACCCAAGAATTCATCCCAGGTGGGAAAGGGGTAACAGGCTCCCGGAATGTCTTCCTTCCCGCGGGACCCTAGGAAGGGCACATCCCGGAGCTGGAGGATTTGGGGTGAGAGAGGTTTAGGGGAGTTCTCAGTGTTGTGCTCTCAGCTCTTGGAATCCACCCCCCCCCCCAATTTCACTAGGGGGAAGATTGGGGCCTGGACTTTCCTTCCTCCCTTGAGAAAGAAACATCCTCTAAGCCTTTGTGGTCACTATTGCCTTCTAATTCACTTTAATAGTGCAAGTCTGTTCTGTGCTCCTCATCTTATAAAGAGACTCAACCAAGTTGGAGCAGCATCTTTGGGAGGTAAATGCCATTTTTTTTCCAGCTCCAATTTACCTGAGAAGAGACAGGCTCAGGTCCCACTTAGCAAATAGTTGTGGGATTTGAATCCAGGTCCTTTTGTCTCCTCATTTTCATCCCCACCCCTCCCCCACTGTGCCCTGTGGCTGTTGGGCCCTCAAGGCTGAAGGAAAACAGCATTTTTGGAATTTTTTTCTTTTGACTCACTAAGTTACAGTCTGCTCAGAAATTTGGGTTCTGGCCCTGGCCAGTTTGGCTCAGCGGTTGAGCGTCAGCATGTGGACCAGAGTCCCGGGGTCAGTTCCCTCTAGGGGCATGTACCACAAAAAAAAAAAAAAAAAAAGGATTCTGCTCTAGCATTCAGACCTGGAGGGGAAGAGGGCCCTGCTGAAGTCCAAACCTGCCCTGTCAGGTAATCTGGGATGGAATGATTGAAGATGGTGGTTCACGGCTTTAGGGGCAGAGAGGCCAGCCAGGACTTGGATGCAGACGACAAAGTACGTTGCCCACTTACGGCTCTAACCAACTGTGGGGAAAGTCACTTTTCACCTGTGAGGCTCAGTCTTCATTAGGAAATAGTGCTAATACACCCGTTCAGAAGCTTCACTGCCAGGAATAAGGGATGTGAAGTGCTTGTCAGCTGAAAGGCCCGTGCAAGGTGGTCAGCACTTCCAATGGGCCATAAAAGGGAGCTGTTTCCCTGCAGGACCCGGCTGAAGAAGGAAACTCCTGTCCTGAGACTTCAAACCCATGTCCAGGAAAATGCCAAAATGAGTCTGCTACCCATCCCCAGGCCCTTCTGCTCCTCCCACACTTTGAGCACCTCAAGCTAGCATGGAGGTAAAACCAATATCCTCTAGTATTGATGTGAAAGCATTTTGAAGGCAAGTTGTAGCATCTGTTTCAGCTCAAATCTCTCTAGCTTCCAGCACAGGGTGGGCAACACACTGGACACTCAGATGTTGCGTGAACAAAGGAATGAGTGAATGAATGAAGTGAGAAACGCCAGGCTGTCGGCAGGTCCAGACTTTACTTCCTGACCCCCACACTCCCCAGCTGGGCCTCCCAACCTTCTCAGGTCCCTACCCTTCCCTTTTTACAGCATGACACCAGGGGTACCAAAAAGGCAAACTGGACTTTATTATAAAGTTGGCTACAAAGTCACCGCAGCACCACGAGGTGGCCACCTGGGCAGGCCCAGGCAGTCTGGCAGCCGGGTGAGTCCCGCACCAGGTACACGCACTCGTGCAAGCACACGTGTGATAGCGGCAGGTCTGCCTTCCTCCATCGGAAAGGAACGTAGAGTCTCTTCACGCCCCCCACCCCAGGCGCGGGGCGCAAAAGTCACAAGAAAGGCCGCTAGGGCGGCAGAGTCCATCGGAATTGAAATCCCGTTACTGGTGTGTAGAGAATTCTACGTGGGTGTCAAGAGCCCCTCAGGGCACAGGCTGGCCCGGATGGGTGCTGCCTTTCCCCCACCAAGGCCCAGGGGTGGCTTGGCCCCCAGGAGTGGAGAACTGGCCCAGGCCCATGGGGCAGTGCAGGGGGAAGTGAGACTCCCCCATTCTCCACTTGAAATCCCATT